TCCATGCAGGAGTTTTTGGCTTCTTTATTTCTAAAAGAAGAACTGTTATCTCAAGAAAGTAAAAACAATTCCCTTTTCAAAGTCGACTCAATTGAAAAGATCTTCAAGTTGAATGAAGTTTTTAAATTTGCTGCTGAAATGTCAGAAGAAGCCGCGCGCGAGATCTTGATTCATCTGTTGGAAATGGCGGCGAAGGAAGACGGAGAGTACAGCTTCGACAACCAAGCACCGTCACTCGAAGATCTGTCTAATGAACAAACAAATCTTCTAACTCTATGTACACAGTTTTACTTCTACTGCTCAGCAGACACGAGATCAGAACTTTTCCCCACTTTTCTTTCTAATCTAGGAGGTGTTTTGTTCATTTTAAATCCTGACCAGCTGAATATTGCAGCAAAGGAAAATTTTGTTAAAACTACCGCTTCACTTATGTACATATTTTTCTCTGAATACTGTCAGTATACAGAGCAAAGTTATAATAATTTAATTTGTTTAACACAGCAATTAAACGCTGTTATAGTTAGTAGAACAGGAGAACAAAAAGCATCAGAATTTTTGAATCTATTTCCATGGCGTAGTGTTGACGAGTTTTTCTTAATGAAAGAAGAAAACAACACTCACCTTTATTTTACTAAAATTGTAAAAAGAGATCCTGGCATTGCTCTTCCTTTTAAAATGGTAAAGACGTTAGTTAGTTTAGAAGAGACAACAAAGAAGACAAACATGAATGGCGATGAGTCAATTGGAGAGAGCAGCAGCAGCTGTTGTTCAAAGCGTCATGGTCTCTCCAGGGTTCGGAGGATTGAAGCTCTTGGTGTGAACAGGTCAGTAGTGGAACAGCTGATTGAGATGATGCCGTTTATCACCGCTCCACAAGGGATACTGGTTAGGGGTGAAGACGGTGAAGTGTTGGATGCTGAGGTAACAGAGTCTCTACTGAGGAGCATCCCAACAACACACAAACTGGAGGGATTAATACTCGACCGTATCAATGTCACATCATCACCTGCTGTGGAGTTCATCAGCAGAGTATTCAAACAAGATCTTCCAAACTTGGACTGGCTCGACATGTCAAACAATCCTCTTCTGGGTGAAGGAGTCGACAGCTTGATAAAACATCTCAGCTGCGCTCCTCACCTGAAGACACTGAACCTTGGAGGTGTGAAGATGACTCCACAGCAGGTGATGAATCTCTCATCAGCTGTACAGCAGCACGGAAACATCACTACACTGGGGTCATACTACTACGTAAGTTTTCCAATTTTATCGCAATTTGTTTCGTTATTCTTTGTTTACAGTTTATTTTTACTCAGCTCTTGCCTTTCGCCATTTTCCTTTCTTTGTCATTTTTAAACTCGACAAAACACGAGATTTGCTTTTGAAATCAAATCACAAACTTTAGCAGATTTAAAGTATTAAATGATTAAACTAACTCCATAAAATGTTTTGACTGAGAACGTTAAGAACAAGTAACTTAAGCTGATATTAAAACATGGAGTTGAACACAAGAAGAGAAATTTCGTATCTCCAAGCAGCCATAAGATGATATTATTGGGTAAAAACAAGAACTTTCAGCAAAACAAAAGCACATAATTTCCACAGTATTAATTTCTCAATCAATTTTAATTCATACCTTTTCATAAAGTAGCAAACAACAATCATACAAGCAAATGAAAGATGTTCAGTTCATGTTCAATTCAAACATATGAGCTTAGTTTGCTATTAAAAAAGTGAAGAGTAAACACATTGAACTTACATTTTAACATTTATCGTCGAGGGTTCTTGTAAAATCGGTCAAGTGAAGTTCTTTTGAAAGTCCGGAAAACAAACAAGTCTTTTTTATAGCTGTTCTTTTGTTCTTGAGCGTTTCTTTGGTAAATACTGGTCCTTGCAGTTCGGTGAAGCGTTGGTTTTTGACACTAACAACCCGCGCAAAAAAATTGTATATCCGAGACTACGGTTGAACGCAACACCAAAAACATTTTCCTTACAGGTAAACACTTCGCTGTTCTCCACTGTATAGCATAAGTGTCCATTGCACGGTTTTTATCGCGTAAATAGCATGAGCTTGTTTTCAACTTTCCAAGAACACTCGCCATACAAATCAAATCCTGCGGAGCTTTGCGCTTTCGTAAAATATCCTTATAAATGATGTTTCCTTGAGCTTCGAACAACTCCTTAGCATATTCCTGAGTAAAAAGAGATAAATCCCTGTTGTTTGCCGGTATCATTTCCCTGATGTTTTCTTATTAAGTTTTGAGTTCATCCTGAACAGTTTGCCGTTGAAGAGCGAACTGAACCACAGGTGGCCCAAGCGTAATTTGAGAGTTTGTACGGGAAAAATAGAGTTTGAAACTTAGATGAAATAAATGAAGTGAAAGCGATAAAAGTTATCAATAAAGTGTAAATATTGTTACCTGGAGTCGTTGTCTTTGTTTTTACGAAGTTTCAACGCGATTTGAGTACTTCTACATCATCTGACATGACAGTGTAATAATAA